TTAATACTGCAGATATCAAGGACTTCAAGTTCATTGGGATTGATCTGTTCCCAAAACTTTAACCTGGTCTCTCGTTTGGAAAATATAGGTCAGATCCAGCATCCAAAGCAAGTCTGGTAGTGTCCATTCCTAAATGCATCATCAATACAAGTTTGCTTCAGGTAGGGCTTACAGTTACTTGGGAATGAAAATATAGGTCAGATCCAGCATCCGAAGCAAGTCTGGTAGTGTCCATCCCTAGATGCATCATCCATGCAAGTTTGGTTCAGGTAGGGCTTATAGTTACTTAGAAATGAAAATGTAGGTCAGATCCAGCATCTGAAGCAAGTCTGGTAGTGTCCATCCCTAGATGCATCATCCATGCAAGTTTGGTTCGGGTAGGTCTTATAGTTACTTGGGAATGAAAATGTAGGTCATATCCAGCATCCGAAGCAAGTATGGTAGTGTCCATCCCTAGATGCATCATCCATGCAAATTTGGTTCGGGTAGGTCTTATAGTTACTTGGGAATGAAAATGTAGGTCAGATCCAGCATCCGAAGCAAGTATGGTAGTGTCCATCCCTAGATGCATCATCCATGCAAGTTTGGTCCAAGTAGGGCTTATAGTTCCTTGGGAATAAGGACCTGCACCAAAAACTTCAAACTGGTCACTTATCTGGAAAATGTAGGTCAGATCCAGCATCCGAAGCAATTTTGGTAGTGTACATCCCTAGATGCATCATCCATGCAAATTTGGTTCAGGTAGGGCTTATAGTTACTTGGGAATAGACTTGCTCCTAAAACTTTAACCTGGGACGCTGACCCCAATGTGGGGGGTATAGCATAAGCTCAGCTCGACTTCGTTGAGGTGAGCTAAAAACTACAAAATATTGACAAAACAAGAGGCCCATGGGCCACATTGCTCACCTGAGTACATGGGCTAGTTAAGGTGCGATGAGACGTTCCTCAAAATCTGTTTTGTTTATCTTCGTAATGTATGAAAAATATTCAAAATTTTAATAACATTCTGATTTCTAAACCAGTTTCTAACCGTTTTTAAATAATCCAAACACTCAAACATTTGAAATTGGAAAGTTATTTTTCTTCCCCACAGTATTATATAAGAAAAACTACGCCTGGTATCGTGCAGAAATGCCTGGTAAGGTACCTCAATTTTTTGTGAGTAAACATGTTTAAGTAACAATATTTCAATGACAAACTCTTAGAAAAATTTATCTATTATAAAGGAACGTCTGTCCTTAATGCTGATAATTTTTCTGACAACAACGAATAGTCTGTGTATTCTTTTGAAACTAATTTTCTTTATTTCAATATATCTGAGTATTAAGATTTTGAGGCTTCAACTGTGTTTTTGATGAATATTGAAAAATGTTTATATCTGTAACATGTTATATAAACTGTAAAATCACATATTTTCGTGGGGTCAAATTTTTGAGGGTTGAGAAAGAAATATCGGTTTGTTGGAATTTGGTTTCAAGGTTAGAAAAGGCTGAGTATGAATGCATATGAAATTATATATTTCGAAGCTGTCATGTATTCGAGGACCTCTCCATACCTAGAAGTTAACGAAAATTACAACCCCATGCACACACACAAATAACAGAATCACATTTTTTCAAAGAGAAACAGAAATATATTAATGCATATGAAAATTTTATTAACTTTTTCTATTTTCTCACAATTAAAAATGAATGTATACATCCATCGATGCTACTTATTGCAGAATGTGCAATGTAAGCTTAAAAGTTTTGTAAAGATCTAATTTATCCCATTTTTTTTACTTTTTTCTGATTAAGTTTTAAGTAATCATTCAAACATATTGTTATATGGGGGATTGGACCTTTGAATATTGCATATCAATCACAGGCTGATGGTGGAGTGTTATTTTTAGTGATGTAAAGAGCATCCAGTTGTAAATTTATTAGAAATGTTTTATTTTTCATGTTATTTCAATATCTTATCGTTTACTTCAGTTATTGGTACAATACACATTACACTTCGACATTGTTGTGTAAACAAATGCTGCTTTTGTATTACTAGACAATCTAGCGAGATATTGTTGAACAGACAGTAGGGAACAATGATACTAAGATGTTATATGTCAGTTTTTCATCATTATCTACCATATTACGACTGTAATTTACTAACGTATTTCAGCATTATCACATGTGTTGTAAATTGGGCGCCTGCCATCTTTCTTACGAAGAAAATAGCCATGTGATATCAACATTGTTGATTTACAATCGATAAGATCGAAATAACACTGTCCGTGTCGTCAAATTTTATAATTGATAGTTAAATGTTATTTTATTGCAGTATTGTCATTTAATTATGTTTTATTTAACGAAATGTTTTGGAACTTGAATGTGTAGCGTAATACTTATGTGTTTGCATTATTGTTCGGTATTACTACGCCATGGATTGAGTGTGTCCGTTTTATTATCGATTGTTTGTTGAACTTATTTTATTATGTATATCGAATAGAATTTATACTCCTACTTTACATGTAGAAAGGACATTTTCAGCGACATTATTTTCTTTGTTTTACACAAAATGTATGTAAAGTGTAGTTCTGAGAGGCTCCAGAAAGGACAATTTTTCATTGGTTTGTTGTGATCACATGACCATTATAGAAGGTTTTATATATATATATATATATATATATATATATATATATATATATATATATATATATATATATATATATATATATATATATATGAGCAGCAAACGCCAGTTTCATCAGAATGATCACAACGATCAGTTCATATTGCGTCATCAAAATCACTGACTGTAAATTACTAGCGACTTAGGTATGAGAAAATAATGTAAACTAATACAAATTAAGTAGCGTATAATTTCTCCACTGCACGGACACCGCAATCCACTGTATTTTATTTGGCCAGAGATGTTAAACTAGGACTCATAGATGTACTAACTGTTTTGTTATATTTCATTGAACTTTGAAGTCTTTATTAAATGAAATATTTGAAACGAGAAATGAAATTGGTTATGATTTACAGGAATGTGAAGTAAATAATCAAGGGTGTTTAAATACATGCGATGCGCCGAGGATCCCCCCTATTTTATATGTGGACGGATGTCAGGAGTAGTCCTGATAAAATTTGATTAACTGAATTGACACGTGATGGAAATATGCAAGCTGATTGGCATTTGACAGGGTGCTGAGGAAGCTTACAATATTTATTTATGCATTGTGAATTTAAAATGACCTAACTATTTAAACCTCTGTACATGTGCAACATATTATAATCTTTTTTTTCTTTTTTTTAATCGTATATAAATCAGTGTCCTTAATTTCCGATACGTTAATGATTCACAATAATTCTAATATGCATTATCTATATGAGAGAAAGTTTTATATTGATGTGCAATGCATGATAGGTCATTCTTATTTTGGGACAAAGAAGTGAAATTTTAAAGTTCATGCATTTTTTAAAGAAGAAATTGAAATCTTTTATGGTTTATTGACATCATTATATAAATGGTGCCTGTTTTGGAGGGTAACATTTGAAATTGACACCCCAAGGAAAACCATTGTAGGAGGCTCATTACACCACTTTTTGATGACGTACTACACAAAAAAATAAACCTCCATTGTGTCGACCGGTTTCCTCTGGGGATGAGTTGTACAGGTACCTCTGTAATATGTCCCTGACCTTTAAAACGCTTTTAGAACAGATGAAACATGCGGTGTTATAAACAGTGAAAACAAAGTAACGGATTCATTATGCATAAACCAAGAAGATTTGCTTTTAAGCAGAAACAAAAGAAAACAATTCAAATCTTCGCCAAACAAGTATTAAATGTCAATTTCATAGCAATGCATGCAGTGAGCTCTATCAATCAATGACATGTTTGTATGGAGGAAATTCGAGTTAAAATCTACAACATTGTTGAATTAAAAAGTTATTTACTTGCACTATTTACTTTGTTGGTGTTAATTTATATATTTGCTTTATTGATTTAAATGTATACTCTGGCAATTTAAAGCTTTGTTCTGAATTTTAGATGTAATGTCAAACGTTCCTTAGTGTTTTGAGTCTTGGGTAATTAGGAAAGATAACTCTTGAAAGTGGACTTTTTATACCAAATATTTTTTAAATTGGATTTTTCATTTTGTTTAAACATTCTTCATTCAATTTGACACATGTAATTCATTGAAATACATTCTTTGTCTCTTCAGAACTCATTTTCTTAATGTTTTATGCATAGATTAAAAAGATAATGACATTAATTGTTTTTTAGGAGAAAATTATTTTTTCTAATGAAATTATTATTAGGTATAATGAGGTATTTTCACTGTGTGTACTTGTCTTAAGAAGATGCCCATTATTTGACACTGAAAGTTATGAAATTCTGTTAATAATAAACTTAAAATAAAACATTTCACTTAAATTAGACAAAAACTAAAAAATTCTATTAAAAATATTTATGATATCAATACCCCCATCTGGATATTGGACATCTTCATTATAAGTGGTGCTGTATCGAAATCTAAAATAAACTGTGGATGTAATGAGCCACCTTAAATTTGCCCAACCGAGGTCAGGGCGAAAGGGGCAAAAATTTTCTGGCATATAGTATTTTATTCAAAATTTCAGGCTTATGTGGTTTGGTATTTGTGAGTTGATTGAAGCATCAACAACAACATAAACTAAGGTTTTTCTGACAAAAGCAGCTGTTCTTTCCCATAACCTCCATTTATCTCTATGAAATATATCCCTGAATTAAAGAAAATCTTCAGCAATTTTATGCTAGTAATTAGCAACAGTCTACCCAGCTTTGAATCCTAAGTTTTACTCAAGATGCCATTACATTAATCAGTAACCTTAACCTTTGCAATATGACCTTGAATCAGGATCAGGCACAATTGTCAGTCAGCTAAAACTACATACTTATATATGAATTCATTGTAAGCTATAGTTTAGACTCGAGTTAAGTTTCTTGTTGCCTGATGACATGACCTTTAATCAAGATCATTGGAGCCATATAAACATCTTAAACAAAACAGACAAATATCTACCCTGGAATAATTCCTGTTCGTCATGTAGAATCTCCTTGATAACAGAAATAACTTCACTGCTGAGAATAGGAAGGCCCTTCAGAGGGTCATCTGTGGATTCTATAGTGTTTTTGTTAGGATTTAGTATTGTCTTCATCAGAAGTTGTTTACTAAGAGCACCACTGATTTGTGAGGCTGATTTCATCACATGTAGACAGAATTTCTGTGTACTAGTTTCGTCAGTGTTCTTGGTAAGGAGGAAAAATAAAAATTTGAAAGGTGGCAAGAGTTCCTCTTCTGGTTCTAAAAGGAACAGAATCAAAGAAGCATGTTCAAAATTAGACGCAAGTGAAGGATTTTTCCGTTAAAACTATTTTAAGTAAAACTTTAAAGGAAAAAACAATTACTCCTTTGCCTTGTTAAATAAAATTTGACATTTTACTAAGTAGAAGGAATAATTTTACACTACTTTCAATGTCAGAAAATATTTCAAAATTTACAATCAACCTTTTTATTTTAAACTCAATATGGGACTGAGAAAAAAAACTCAAAATATCTGAGGATTCAAGACGATAAAATTGAAGGTAAAAATACATAAAAGAATAATTGGTTGGGATTTCCAGATCACTTTGACATATCCATGGTATTTGAGATATCGATGCTCGAGATACGGAAGTTCAACTGTATGTATACATACACAAGAGGCCCATGGGCCACATCGCTCACCTGAGCACCAAGGGTAGGACTAGTATAAAATGGCTTTTTATTGTAAAGTTTAAATCCTATTTTGCTATTTTTCAGAAAATGATTGAGAAGAAGATTTTTAAAGAATTTTCCTATATATTTCTATGTAAAACTTTGGTCGGCCATTTTCCTACCCCCGGGGGTCATGATTTGAACAAACTTGAATCCACACTACCTGAGCATGCTTCCATATAAATATGATGAATTATGGCTTTGTCATTCTTGAGAAGAAGATTTTAAAAGAATTTTCCTATATATTTCTATGTAAAACTTTGGTCCGCCATTTTGGCCCCGCCCTTACCTCGGGGGTCATGATTTGAACAAAATTGAATCTACACTACCTGAACATGCTTCCATATAAATATGATGAATAATGGCTTTGTCATTCTTGAGAAGAAGATTTTTAAAGAATTTTCCTATATATATACTTTGGTCGGCCATGCCCTACAATGAACACTTGAATCTACACTACCTGAGCATGCTTCCATATAAATATGATGAATTATGGCTTTGTCATTCTTGAGAAGAAGATTTTTAAAGAATTTTCCTATATATTTCTATGTAAAACTTTGGTCGGCCATCTTACCTGGGGGGTGATGATTTGAACAAACTTGAATCTACACTACATAAGCATGCTCCCATATAAATATGATGAATTATGGCTTTGTCATTCTTGAGAAGAAGATTTTTAAAAATTTTTCCTATATATTTCTATGTAAAACTTTGGTCGGCCATTTTGGCCCCGCCATACCCCCAGGGGTCATGATTTGAACAAACTTGAATCTACACTACCTGAGGATGTTTCCCCATAACATCTTTCCTGGCACAGTGGTTCTTGAGAAGAAGATTTTTAAAACATACCACTAAATTTTCATTAATTCCCAATTATCTCCCCTTGAATGAAGGCGTGGCCCTTCAATTGAACAAACTTGAATCCCCTTCACCAAAGGATACTTTGTGGCAAGTTTGGTTGAAATTGGCCCAGCGGTTCTTGAGAAGAAGTCGAAAATGTGAAAAGTTTACAGACAGACAGACGGACAGATGGACAAAATGTGATCAGAAAAGCTTACATGAGCCTTCGGCTCAGGTGAGCTAATAAAGACAGTGAGTACTTGTACCTTGTACAAAAGTAATATCACTGATGATGCTTTCCTTCCAGGAGGATGTACTCAGGTATTTATCAGCTGTAGAGGGGACATCACTCTCATCAGAATAGTATGCCAGTCGACACAAGTAGCCAAACTTTTGTCATAATTTAAAAGAAAATACATGCAATGTATGGGAAAACATACAAGTCGCTCATTTAACATAACATGGAAACTACATTTCATTCAAAAGAATTAATTGTACCTAAATTAAAATTTGTTTCCTTCATCTTAAAAAATCTTTTTGACTAGCCTGGAAAGTTTGCTATAGAAAGAAAAAGAAATTATAGTGATGTTTCTCAGAGTCTTTCAATTATTTTTGAATGTAGAACTTGGTTAAATTTAGTTAAAATAACATCAATAGATCAAGAATATGTGAATATCTATAGGAAAACAAATAGAATTTGATTAAATATTAAAAGACTTGTCCTGAAAAATTACATACAGACAATATATGCATGTCTTTGCTAGAAGTAAGAAAAGTTACATATACAAACTGTAACAAGTGCTTCAATCAATTACATTTAATCTTGCATCTGTGTTCCCTTAAATGAAATGCGAACAAAATTGACAATCAATTTTCAAATAAAGGAAGTTGGTCATGTGTTCAGATTTTCTTGCGTATGGAAAGCAAGCCGAACAAGACATTTCAAATGTCTAGATTTTTACATATGATGTATGGTAAGGGAGTCTAAAAAGTTCATTTTTTCCCTCTTGAAGACAAGACAATATATAAATATAAGAAATAAAATGTCAGTTTTTTTAATTTCTTACTTAAATGAAGGTAGTAATTGTATGTAATCAAATCTACAATAACACCATTTGGGCATTATAGTATTTGATCATGTGACCAACTTCATGTCATATCCCAATGAAACTCTGAAAATGACATTTATTTCTTAAATTAAAATGATGCTTAAAAATTCCATCGAGGACACCTACCTGTGGATTCATGTTTGCTATCACCTCCATCATGGCCTGGGACTGAGGATGTGGATCCACCAAATTACTGACACAATATGTCATGGACCCTTAAGCCTAGATACACACATTGCACAATTTTTGAAAAGGTTCCCTTGCTTTTCAAAAATATTTGATTAATACCAAGGAGCAGATTTCAAACAATTCATCCAGTTTCAGTATATAAGTACAGTCCCCCCCACCCCCTATGGTACCCCTGTCACTGGGGCCTTGAAATTCACAATTCTGGAAACTTAGCGCTCTTGCTCTTCATATCTATATAGGTAGTTCATCTGCTTAATACCCAGGAGCAGAGAAGAATACTTTCAAAGATTTAATGTATTTTCACTATATAATCAATAGAGCCCCGCCCTATCACTAGAACCCCTGACCCTAGGGCCATAAAATCAAAATTTTGGAAGAGGTATTCTTGCTCATCATAACTATGTAATTAATCAATTTAATTCCTAGGAGCAGAAAAGAATTTATCCCCACCCTAACACCCGAACCCTGACCCTGGGGCCATAAAATTCACAATTTTGGTAGAGGCACTCTTGCACATCATAACTATGCACTTAGTTAGTTTATTTAATACCCAGGAGCAGAGAAGAAGATTTTCAAAGAATTCATATAATTTCACTATATAATCTATAGAGCCCCACCCTAGCACCAGAACCCCTGACCCTGGGGCCATAAAATTCACAATTTTGGTACAGGCACTCTTGCTCATCATAACTATGCACTTAGCTAGTTTATTTAATACCAAGGAGCAGAGAAGAAGATTTTCAAAGAATTCATGTAATTTCACTACATAATCTATAGAGCCCCACCCTAGCACCAGAACCCCTGACCCTGGGGCCATAAAATTCAAAATTTTGGTAGAGATACTCTTGCTCATCATAACTATGCACTTAGTTAGTTTATTTAATACCCAGGAGCAGAGAAGAAGATTTTCAAAGAATTCATGAATTTTCACTATATAATCTATAGAGCCCCGTCCTAACACCAGAACCCCTGACCCTGGGGCCATAAAATTCACAATTTTGGTAGAGGCACTCTTGCTCATCATAACTATGCACTTAGTTAGTTTATTTAATACCCAGGAGCAGAGAAGAAGATTTTCAAAGAATTCATATAATTTCACTATATAATCTATAGAGCCCCACCCTAGCACCAGAACCCCTGACCCTGGGGCCATAAAATTCACAATTTTGGTACAGGCACTCTTGCTCATCATAACTATGCACTTAGCTAGTTTATTTAATACCAAGGAGCAGAGAAGAAGATTTTCAAAGAATTCATGTAATTTCACTATATAATCTATAGAGCCCCACCCTAGCACCAGAACCCCTGACCCTGGGGCCATAAAATTCAAAATTTTGGTAGAGATACTCTTGCTCATCATAACTATGCACTTAGTTAGTTTATTTAATACCCAGGAGCAGAGAAGAAGATTTTCAAAGAATTCATGAATTTTCACTATATAATCTATAGAGCCCCGCCCTAACACCAGAACCCCTGACCCTGGGGCCATAAAATTCACAATTTTGGTAGAGGCACTCTTGCTCATCATAACTATGCACTTAGTTAGTTTATTTAATACCCAGGAGCAGAGAAGAAGATTTTCAAAGAAATAATGCATTTTCATTATATACTTATTTAGCCCCGCCCTAGCAATAGAATCCCTGACCCCAGGGCCATGAATTTCACAATTTTGGTAGAGGACTCAATGCTGATTACAATCATGCAAACAGTTTGACTACTTGATGTCCAGGAGTAAAGGAGAAGATTTTTAAAGATTGCATTAATTTTAGTAGTTTTTGCCCCACCCCCCAGGCCCCAGGGGGGCAGGGACCATGAAATTCACAATTTTTGTTCCTCTTCGCCCATAGATGCTTTGTGCCAAATTTGGTTGAAATTGGTTCAGTAGTTGCAGAGAAGAAGCTGAAAATGTTCAAATGTTAACGGACAACGCACAACGCACGACGCACGACGACGGACGAAAACAGATAGCAATAGGTCACCTGAGTTTACTCAGGTGACCTAAAAAGTAGGTCACCGTGACCTATTTTTGTGTTAACATGATGTGAAGTCCTAAGATGCATCAACTTACAAGATTTGATGATTCTAGTCTTTTTAGTAAGCAAAATATCAACGTTTTTATTAAGTGTAAATTTTTGTTAACTTTGAACTGACCTTGAGACCACGCCCTTTGCCCCAGGGTCAAGCCTTGAACAATTTCTAATCTTCAACATATCAAGACCCTTGTATGTAAGTTTGGTGAAAATCTGCCTAGGGGCTCTGGAGAAGAAGATTTTTTAGCAACCAGTACTTTTGGTTTCATTTTCCTGATTATCTCCCCTTATTTTAGGGTCACAACCCTAGTTTTAGTATAAAAGGTAGCCCTTGAGCCAAGGATACCCTGTGACAAATTTGACAATGATTGGCCAAGCGGTTCTTGAATTATGGCCCATATTCTAAAAAGTTAACGCACACCGCACACCGCACGACGCACACCGCACAAATGGCCAGAGCATTAGCTCTTTGAGCCTTTGGCTCAGAAGAGCTAAAAATCTGTATCTAAAATTACTCGAAAAAATGTCATTGTGTTTTTATGAAAAATGAGACGTAATCAAATTCTATTTATTCAATGCAATATCATAAATCTGGAATTGAATTTTTAAACTCACTGATTTATTTAGTTTTGCTCCTTGCCCAAGATTAGCACATATCGTTTCGTGGTCGAATTCCACTTTCCACTCGGTGGACAGAGTTTTGATGCTGTTTACGGAGATGAATGAAAACAAACGCATACATGCCGTATATGGTTGTGTAGAAAAATTATCATAGAAGACAATGGTAATAAAATGTTTGTCAGTGCATTTCATCTGAAAGTGTAAATGAGTGCGTTTCTGAGGAGTGGGGTAGTGAGTGTAATTCGGAGTTAAATACCTTGTGTTATTATTATACTATGGATTAAAAAATTATTTCTGAAACAAGTGCCTGTGCCTTGGGGGTCATGATTTGAATAAACTTTAATCTACACTACCTGAGGATGCTTCCACATGAGTTTCATCTTTCCTGGTTCAATGGTTTTGGATAAAAAGATTTTTAAAGGTTTTTCCTATGTATTCCTATGCACAACTTTGATCAGACATTGTGAGCCCATCCGATCCTCAGGGGTCATGATTTGGGTAAACTTTAATCTACACTACCTAAGAATGCTTCCACATGAGTTTCATCTTTCATGGCCAAATGGTTCAAGAGAAGAAGATTTTTAAAAGATGTCATTAATTTTTCATTAATTCATAATTATCTCCCCTTGGAAGAGGGCTTGGCAATTCATTTGAACAAATTTGAATCCCCTTCACCCAAGGATACTTTGTGGCAAGTGTGGTTGAAACTGGACTAGTGGTTCTTGAGAAGAAGATGAAAATGTGAAAAGTTTACAACGCCAACGACAGACAATGGACAAATTTTGATCAGAAAAGCTCACTTGTTGCTTCGGCTCAGGTGAGCTAAAAGCAATGTAAGATGTTCATTTTTTTTCACTAACACAATGTACAAATGCACCACTGCATGCAGTGTTATATATATATTTACTCCCCCTGCGAAATGATATTCATGATTTTAAGAACCTTTATGAGTTGTTCATAATTGTTCATGAATGGTTCTTAAAGGATTCTTAACACGTTCATAAAAGTAGTTCATGAATAAAATTCATGAAAAAATTCATAATTCATGGTTCATGAACAAATGATGAACAAATATGAATATTGGTAATTTTCAGTTTAAAGAAAAAAACTTAATAGTTCAAAGTAATGAATGTTCATGAATTTTCATGAAGACTAAAAATGTAAAAATAATTGTCACAAACGATCGCCAGAAAACTCTCATTACTCCCATAATACAACTTTTTCATGCAGATGCAATCGTTGAACAAGCCCCTGATTTAATTAATAACATGCTTTTGTTTTGATTTTGAAAGTATGGGATCAGAGCTGAGTAGGGGAAGATAAGAGGTTAAAATCACTATTTTCTACTCTACGTAATTGATAAATTAGATTCTTCAGGATAATAAAACTTTGTTATGAACTGTCTAGAAGGGAGATTATAATTAAATTATGATCGTAATTTAGAAACACTGCATCAATATCGACAGCATTTTTTTTCTCATATTGAATTACTAATGTTTCTTCATCATTTAAATTGTCCAGCTATATTAATATTGTGCTTTAACTTATCTCATTTTTCACGACACAACTTTTTTCGACCGAATTTTCTCTATTTGTCAAACTTTTAACAAGTTGTAAGAAAATGAAACATACTTTCAGTCTAAGAAAAATTTCATTGTCTTCATAAAAACGTATCATAAATTTATTGACAACTAAAAAATTATATCTCTTGTCCGTACTGTACCGTATCATTCTTGGGTCGAAAAGCTTTATATTTTGATGCAGTTATAAGGTCACATTTTTCTGTCGTTCGTGTGTAAATGATACAGCACAGGCTGCATGGTTGTGAAGAAATTATGACATGAACCACATTCGTATTTTGTAATTATATTTTCCTAATACACTTTCATAGCTCAGGGTACTCAGTTTGAGGGCGAGTGGTTCCAAGAGATATTTGTTGTCCTCTGATTATATCAATGGAGGCGGCCATACTTGAATACGAAACTATGGCTAAACAGGTATAATGTAAAAAAAAAATCCAATTCACTAAATGATATAACTTATATTTATTTAATTTAAAAAAAATAATTTCAGTGAAAAATCATTCAGATAGAGTTTGTTATTTTTTGTTTAACAAAAATCTTGGCAATTCGAAACTATTTCTTAATTAGCTCTGCATGACACTTTTTAAAAGGCGCAAACTTTGAAACGCGCGAGACGTTGGAAAGTGAATCGGTAGAGTGGGAGGATTATTAGCGTAGTCATTCTTTGTCAACCTTTGAAGAAAATAACAGAATACGAAGAATGAATATCCAGAGGATAAATTTACTTCATAACTGCAGATATTAGTGGTGAGTTACAAAAAAATGGAGGTAATTGCTGAATCTGTGAGATATTTGTCAAGATGTTACTGTCTATTTGTAAGAGTTCAGTTATGTCCTTTTTAATGAAAATTTTGTCAAACTTTGTTATGAGTAAGGATCCAACCAAATTACGTAACATTTAATAATTAAAGATTGAAACATTCATCCTGTTCACCTATAACATCTTAAACATGGCGGGCAAGGGAAACAGGCTAAACTCCCGCTCGGAATGCTTTAAAATATGGCAGTGCCTATGATGCAGAATTAAATGAAACAAATATGCAAAAAAAACCAATGAAGTCTTAAGTTTTCACACTTATGAGCATTTTCAGAAAATCTTTGTTCTTGACTTCTTGTAGGGAAAAGAGAAGCAGTTCACAGATAATGTTGATGAGATGAGAACAGAAGATTAAAAAACTCTGGCTGCCAAAAAAAAAAAAAGAATATAAAAAATCCAGGCTCTTGAAGAAAAACAAAAGAAAGGAATGAAAATATGAATCGTAATCGATCAAAGGATCCAAGTGATGAAATTCTGAAAATTCCACAGGGAAAGCCAATAAGATTTTTTTATTTGACCACCTCTGCTCAAAACCCTTGAAAGCCCTTTTAGCTGATGCCCTAATTGCTGAACACTTTTCTGCCAGAGAGTAAGATTTGGATTAAAAATCATTCCATTTTAGGCATACACTTTGAAATACGCTGAATAAGGAACCCACTCTCCTCTTGACCAAGTAAGGTTAAAGATTCTGCAAAGAGTCGCATTTGAATTGAAATTTTTCATGATTTTACTAGGAATGAACTACATAATTTATTCATTATCGTTATCACTTATCAGAGTTGTTTACTTGAACAAAGATTTTGTTACCATGATTGGAAAACAAAAATTCTGTGAAATTTATCTTTCAAGATGCTATTAAAATATTTTCTTTTACAGTTTTTCATTTTGCATAAGTTATTAGATTTTTTTTTACAAAAAGCAAGAACATTCATGAATAGTTCATGAACATTCCTAAATAACTTTTACAAATTATTCATGAATAGTTCATGAAAATGCATTGAACCTTTTAATATCATTCATGAACTTTTCTTGAAAGTTCAAGAATATAATTCATGAACTTTTCTTAAAAGTTCAAGAATTATTCTTGATCATTTTGCAGGCATTTAAAAAATCCAAGTTTGTTCATGAACAACAAATAATTCTTGAATATTCTTGAACTTGGTTTTCATGAATAAAATCCATGAAATCATGAGTGTCCAATTTTAACTTCATGGGATCTTCATGAACAATTCCTGAGCTGATTCAAGAATATAATTCATGAACTTTTCTTAAAAGTTCAAGAATTATTCTTGATCATTTCGCAGGGGTCATTTCAAGAAACTCTTGAAAATTTTAGAATTTCGGCAATCCCTAGAAGATAAATGTTGAACTTGGTAAAAAGTAAAGAGTCTGATTGTCTCCATTCATCCACATTTTTGTCCCCCACTTTCACTGAAAGTGGGGGATATTAATTTGGGTCTGTCTGTCCATCCATCTCTCTGTCTGTAACCATTCCATTTCTGCATAATATCTTGAGAACCCTTTGAGCTTTTGCAATACAATTTTGTATGGCAACTTCCTACAGCCTAAAGAAGAATCATATTGATTTTGTGGTCAAAAGGTAAAAGGTCAAGGTCATAATTTCTGTCTGTTTTAACACTTTTGTTCTTGAGTGATATCTTGAGAATCCTTTGAGCTTTTGCAATGAAATATTAAATAACAACTCTCTGTGGCCTACGGAAGACCCCTACTGATTTTGAGATCAAAAGGTCACAGTTCAAAGTTGTAAATTTATACATTCAGCCTGTGAGTAACACTTTCATTTCCGGGTGATATCTCAAGAAGATTTTGAACTTCTGCAATGAAATTTTATACCAAAACTCCCTAGGGCCTCTCTCACACCTCTCTCAAAGTGTCCCCCCATTTATTTTATAAGTATTTATTGTATTAAATGTCATTTTGCATTATTTTCAGCACAAGTTATTTTCAGCACAATGGCATGTGGAGAGTTATTATATATGTATAATACAGGTTGTCGGCAGACTTTTTATTCTTATTACATGTACATCTATTAGAACTGTTTAGTAAAGGCTAAATTAGCACAATGCATTGAGTAAAAGTTTGACAATATCGAACGTGAATATATACATGTATGTGACCTAATGTTTGCATACAATTTACAAAACAAGAAAGCGTCTCCGTGGTGTAGGGGTATGTCTATTGTTTACCATGTGAGAGGTCCCAGGTTCAAATCCAAGATGATCCCTTTTTTTTTTTTAAATACTTTTTTTTAGCTAAAGGATAGTATTCAGCATAAATGAAAAAGTTATGATGATAGGCTTATACAACCTCATAAAAACATTATAAAGTGTGATAAATATTCTAAATATTAAAAAGAATCTTCCATACACATAGTAAATAAGCAATCAAATCTTCATATCCATAACAGTATTTCTTATTTGCTTCAATAAACATGTATACTTTTAATAATTCTACAAATTCGGGGGGGGGGGGGGGGGGTCGATTTAGTAGTTTCTATCCAAGATACACAGGTCGTGCAAATTTCATCAAAATAAGAGACATCAAAATTCTTATTGTTTTTCACAATAAATACACTTACATAGTAAGCATGCTTCAATTTTTTTGCTTCTTCATCTGCATCTGGGGGTGGATCAGGACATTTCCTTTGTAAATATTCAAAATGATTGAATTTAAATCATTTGATTAAATTTCATTTCTCAATGTAAAAAAATCTTGAAACCTCATGCGAAAAAGTTTTAATCTTTGCTAAACTCTGCACACTCAGTTTCTAAAATCTTCAGTAAAACTTGGAGTACTTACTTGGCTACATGATCAACCAGACCAGCAAGAACCACCTGTCTGAGAAGTTTGGCCTGCAAATCACTTGGGGGATCCAATTTGGGGTTTACACACAAGTTGGCATCAGAAATAATTGCATTCACTTGAGAAAAATTGAATAATAAAGTTAAAAAATGTGAAGAGGAACTTTACTCTGTATAATTCTAAAACATGTTTTTTTTATGAAATTAAATTGACGGGTTAAGGCCATTCTATTTTTTTTTAAAGCAATTAGGATGCTTTATGATAAGTTTGATTGAAATTAATCCAGTGGTTCTGGAAAAGAATTTTGAAAACGTGACACAGACCTGTTTACCCATATCGTCTTCTCTCAGTATTTTTGATTAGATTTATCCATGAGATTTGGCAATTGCCAATAAGATTTAACTTTTCATCTTTTACTTATTTTAAAAATGAACAACTGCTTTTCTGATTACTAAAACTTGGTTTAACAACATGGTCTTTGTCATTTTATGATAGCGTTGAGTTTTGGCAACCCAACATCACGTAAGTGTTTGAAATATTTCTCTTTTTTAGTGATTCAAAAGCATGAAACGAAGACAGATCATAAAGAAAACTAACTGCTAATTCCAAACGAACATATTTCCGATTTCAATATTTTCTTCATAGCAAAATGTGAGACGTATTTTAAACTAAAAATCCCTACAAAATACTGTGAATTCGTAAGAGTAAACAGGTCTGGTGACAAGTTTACAGATTGACAGACAGATCTAGAGGAACTGTGAACACTGAGCAGCAACTAAATGATACCCACTGTCTTCAATATGATTATAATGGCAGTGTCAAAGATTTGCTCTGGGGCACACGAAATATGTGTCGGATCAAAAAGTAAAATAAAAGATGCACAATGGCTCTAAGTAAGATTAAGTAAAAGTCTCATTAAATTTCATTCAGATGTGTAGGTGGAGTTGCATTACTATAAGAAATGGGTACCCCAATGCACAACAGACAGACAACAGACATCTGGTAAAAGCTTTACTTGTCAATGAGCTTTCAGCTCAAGGTGAGCTTAAAAGTAGGTCAAGGTGACCTACTTTTAATTTCTCATGATATGATGTCCTAAGATGCATCAACTTAACAAAATTTGACGATCCTACATGCAGTCTTCATAGTAAGCAAAATACTAATGTTTTTATAAAGTGTAATTTTTGGTCAACTTTGAAGTGACCTTGAGACCATATGCCCCAGGGTGATGCCTTGAACAAGTTTTCCTCTTCAACATATCCTCATCTTTGTATGATTGTATGTAAGTTTGGTGATAATCTGCCTAGTGCTTCTTTTTTTCAGCAAACAGTACTTTTAGTTTCATTTACCTAATCATCCCCCCTTGTTTAAGGCTCACAGCCCTACTTTAGTAAAGATAGGAGCCCTTATCATATGTGTGACAGTACCCAATTATTATCATCTGTAATGCCTACTGTTCTAAAAATGTGATTTTATGACAAAAATACTTGATATCATGATTACTTAACTAAGTTTAACTCTTTCGTGATGGAGGTAGGAAACGTCTGCTGGATGGGGGCAAATGTGCTATTGAATGCAATGCAAGATCGATCCTTGTAGATCGAATTTATAAGGACAGATAAGTAAAAAAAAATCCTGGTAGAATACCTTAATTGCTAAACAATCACTGAACCAGCCTAACTAATTTTTGTGAGTAGCTAATCCTAAAATGTTACATTTTTTACTAGCCAAGCTATTTTGAAATAAGACCACAACTGTAGGAAAAGTAGCATTTTGAAGGTACATGTATTTAAAAGAATTTCTAGTTTTAGTAACCGTGGCAGCACTATTCACTGAAATAAAAAAAGATACATAAAATTATGTACAAGGGCTGTTCGGAAATTATTGAGACATTTACCTTTACTCCATAAAGGACAGAGATAATTTCATGAAATTCATCAACATTTTATAACAAATGAATAAAACAGTAATGCAAATTTTCTAAATCCTATGATAATTAATTGGATAACTTTTGGTGAAATTATAAACATGCACATGTCTATCGACCTGGAGCAGCATCACAACATCATTTTAACGTTACGTCAGCCGGAGATGGTTTCCCATCCCTTACCAAAATAAAATTATTGCAACAATATTGCCGCTATATTGCGGCAACATTGCAGCAACACATTTTTGTCTCCAGAAACAAGCTTTTTGGGTTAGTGAAATATCACCGCTAGTGGCAACAACTTCTGGTGACATTCTGGCAATACTGCAATATAGGCATTTATGAGCATGCTCAGTCATTTACTTCCTCTTTTTAAATAAAATGGAGGGAATTCAAAGGCAAGCATGTTTTGCTTCATTATTGAATGGTATCAAGTTAATTGGAATTGTTAATTGTGTACAATAGGATTAGACATGATGACTAGTAAGACTGAATAATGTGGAATAGCCAGAAAAAAAGAATTTCAGCAGTTTCCATGGCATGGCCTTTTGAAAATTATACGAATGGCTAACTCTGTTTTCATGGTATATATATCAAACTTGGTAAGTCAAAACCATTTTCTTTTTTAGATGAATGATTCTATGGAGATAAAATAAAAAAAATTATATGTATTTCAACTAGTGCTTGTGATGCATGTACATGTATAATATACTTGTATGTCTAATATATATATATGACATACTATTGTTGCAGGAAAAGATGAATGCATTGTATCAGTTAAATGCATGAACATAATTTATGGCATAAATTTGAATACCTGCAAGAAAAGAATGATTCTATATGTTGGAAATTACAAACAAGCTATATATTATACATTATATTGATTATAATAGGCATTGGGGAATATGTGATGGTCAGCTAGTTAAGATTATTTGAAAAATGATGCAGAGTTGCTGGACATTTTCACAGAGGCATATTAATATTTTTTATATACAGATTTTTTATGTGCCCGGATTGATAGATTGGGGGCACATATTGTTTTTGTCCAGTCTGTTTGTAAACTTTAACCTTCCCCATAAGTGATAACTTTTGAACCAATGAGAGAGAGAGAGAGAGACTTCATATTTGGTAAGCATAGTACTCCACTTATTAAGTCCTAGCTTTCAAATGACACCAAGGTCAATGACCTTGTGACCTTGACTGTGACCTATATGCTAAAAATAGTTTTTTATTGAATATTTGCCATAATTTAAAAACCATGAGAAATAGAGACTATATATTTAGTATGCATACTCAACTAATTTAGGTCTTTAAAATGACACCAAGGTCTTTGACAAGAACCTTGGCTGTGACCCATATGCTTAAAATAGATTTTTCAAACCTTCGACATAACTTTTGAACCATGAAAGATGGCAACTTTTATTATATTTGGTATGCATTCTCCACTAATTATGCTCATTCAAATGACATCAAGGTCAATGACCTTGTGACCTTGACTGTGACCTATATGCTAAAAATAGCCTTTTTAAACCTCCACCATAAATTTTGAACCATAAGAGATAGAGACTTCATATTTAGGATGCATATTCCACTAATTAAGTTCTTTCAAATGACACCAAGATCAATGTCGAATGACCTTGTGACTTTGACTGTGACCTATATGCTAATAATGGTTTTTCAAACTTTGTTGCCGCTTGTTTCAAAAACACATCTTTTTTCAACAAAATTTTTCTATCTTTTCAAAGAATAGCATAAGCTTAAGTAGATATTTCTTACTGACTCAGTAGCTTACAATGCTATTGATTTTTATATAATTTTTTCTATTAAATACCAATTTATATAGGTAATACTGCAGTGTTGCCCCAATATTGCTGCAGCAAAACCTGAAATAATACATGTACTGCAATTGCTTTGCAGCAACACTGCAGCAACATTGCCGCAACGCCTTTCTGGCAATATTGCCGCAAATCTAATTTACATACGAAAAACGGTGTTGCCGCAATATTGCTGCAATGTACTGCCAGAATGTTGCTACAATATTGCAGCAATATTGCCGCAACACTTTTCTGGCAATATTGCCGCAAATCTAATTTACATATGAAAAACGATATTACCGCAATTTTGCTGCAATGTATTGCCAGAATGTTGCTGCAATATTGCGGCAATAATGCCAGAAGATGTTGGCAGAAGGTGAGTATTTTGGTAAGGGATATGCTAAACGATCGCGAAGTGTTTACTACTCTTTCTTCTTTGTTATTACATATAACATCATAAGAATCAAACTGTTCTCTTTTCTAAAACTTTTCCTTTAAAAAACATATGCTGTTGCTACCTTTGTGTAAAATTTTCATTTGTTGGAAATGATGACTTAGCATCATGCAGATAAAAATCTGTTACCTAATAGTAATTTAAAATTCAATGTAATAAACTTGGATCTACCCATATTTCATTTCTTTACAGATCAATGTTCTCATAAGTAAGTTTTAACTGTTCAAAGGAAATTATTTGCATGTTGATTTACGTTCGGCAAACATGCCTTGAAAATCTATACTTTTGGATTCCTGTAGAAGATGTCAGGATGGAAAACAGTTAAAAATAAGTTATCCACTTTATTCGAAACCGAACTTGTATTCTGCAGTGGAACATCAAATATTATGTATTACATGCCGAATCTGTCAAACATAAACAGACTTCAAGTAAAACTTTCCTATGAAGTTCTCCTCAAAAATGACAGAAAAAGAGCCAGAAAGAAAATGTTGCTATCACAAATATGATTATCAGAATTGTTTGCTTTTTGTAGATTTAAATTATAAAGTTTCAACCTGCAATTCCATAAGATCTGACGTAATGCAACTACGTGTAAAGAATAGGGGTGGGACGATACACACATCATGCGATACGATACGTATCTCGATATATTGGCACGATACGATACGTATCTCGATATTATGAGAAATTATAAAACTATTCAAAAAAATTAGTATTTTATTTCTTTTCTTTTTGTCTTGACATTAATTAAATCAACAAATTATTCTATATCAAGTCATGTTTGCTTTGAAATTAATACTTGAAGTTCATCAATTTAATTGACTAAAACTTGACAAAAACAATAATACATGTACATACTATTATAACCAAATTACTATTCAGAAGTTGTTTACAAATAGTTGTGTGTAGTTTATCAGAGAACACTGACAAAAAATTCATTTAAAAAACATCTATCACATTTACATTTTTATTAATTCTTTTATCAAA